CTAAAGCTATGACGATTTTTTTACAGTATCCTTCTCAATACTAACTTGTAGAATCAGCATCTAAATGTGGTTTCTTATATCTGTTAAACAATTATATGCAGCATATCAATTAAGACTTTATTTTGAATCATCTAATCTTATATTTCGGGGAGCAAAAAGACTCATTATGCCGATATACTGTAGTGCATGTAAATAATATATGCTATAATATTTATTTCAAATTACCTTAATTATTTATCTGTCCGTGAATATGTTTTATACAGTGTAAATATAAACTAGTCGTTAGATACATTCTGCTATCCTGTTAATAAGAAGTAATCAGTGAAAGCATGCTTTGCCCTACAAAGACAAATTTAGAAACAGTCTTGAAATTGCTGAATTATAAAGCATTATGCATAATCAAACACCCTCATTCAACAACAACTTCTAGCGATATCGCTACAAATCAAATATTACTTAAAAAGAACTAAACCCGTAGTAGGTAATTAAAATATAAATTTTGACAAAATAAAATGATATTTATTGAGAAAATATCACTTTAAAACGATTATTTTAATGAGTCAGAAATCACAATGGATCGGGCAATATTAACCATGCATCGGAAAAACGGAATTTGGTCTGCAAACATTTTTTATCTCAGTGCTTTTAAATGAATGATTTGCAAATAATTTTAGCTTTAAAATGAACGAAATGGAAAAACTAAATTCACATATCTGCATGTTGACTGTTCTTTTTCATTGTATGCCCCCGTGATCAAACATTCGGGGGTTTATAGTTTTTGCCATATACTTTAGTTTAGATAAAAGGTGAAAATAAATCATTCATTATAAAGCACTGAGATAAAGCTTTTTTGCGATTCATTTCAGTATACCAAGTCCTTGCAAGCAATTATCAATCTCAAAACAGCTTACAATTTAAAAAGAACATATCTTAACACAGTAGCCATTGTAGAAGGGTTGTTTAAAAAGTTCATGGACGACGTCGATCTTTGTTATATTACTCAGAAGAAAAGAAAAAGTTACGCTTAAATCTTGATTAAATATCCCTAAAGTCCTGTCTCATTCGCGAAAAAGATAGATTAAATAAAAACATTACTTTTCTATAGAGTACTCTAGTACTTGACATCTGCACCAAGTTGTAGGACCGAATTATCTTGCAAACCAATTCCAAAATGGCAGTATAAATAGATGATATTTCTGATGATCTCAGGACCAGGATGCTATTAATAACGTCGCAAGGAATGTTTCATTAGTGAAACTGAAAGAATATATGTTTAGAACATACGGTTAGTAATATTTTGAGATGACTGTTCAGAAACATGGAGATATCGAAAAACAGCGCACCTTTTTGTACTCAATAAATATAGAGTTTATTATACCCCCCCCCCCCCCCCCGCTTGAAAAGCGGGAGGGTATATAGTAATCGTTAATTCCGTTCGTTCGTCCGTCTGTACGTCCGTCCGTCCGTTACGCTTTAGGGTAGCCATCTCTTATCCGCAACTCTCTTATACCACTGAATGAAATTTGATGAAACTTTCAAAGAATCTTTATTACATATTGCTATTGTGAACCTCTTATTTTACTTTTTGATCTAACACATATTTTGGGTTTTCCATAGCAAAACATGGACACTGCCATTTATACACAAATTGGAGGCGGGGTATCATTTAGTGAGCCCATTGCTCACAGTACCTCTAGTTTTAAATGGGTAGCGTGAGCCGATTGGTCTATAAATATCTTTTTCTAGAGTTACAGTTCTGCAGCTTACACGTTAAAAAGAACAGATCTTAACACAACAGTGGCGGATCCAGAGGGGGGGGGGGGGGGTTACGGGGGTTGCAACCCCCCCTTTGGATTTGCAAAAATGAAAGAGAAATAAGAAAGTTCCAATTTTTTAGTTGTGTTTTTACTATAGAAAATGTAAGGTGAAAGGCTAATGTTGTAATATATAAAGAAATTCGGTTGTAAAAACAAAATAAAACCCCACCCCTTTACAAAATAGGATTTTCAGGTTCGGAGACTTATTTTCCTTTCTTTTTCAAAAACTTTCTGGTAATGTATACAAGTACTTTTTCCCAGATTGATAAAAGTCCCACTTTCAAAAACCATACTCTACTCTGTATCGATAATCTATTGAGTTATTAAACTATATGTATGTGTACAGCGTACGTTTTAACTGTTTTCGCCTTCAACCCCCCCTTTTAAAAAAATACTTCAACCCCCCCTTTGAAAAATTTCTGGATCCGCGCCTGCACAGTAGCCATTGTAGAAGGGTTGTTTAAAAAATTCGTGGACGACGTCGATCTTTGTTATATTACTCATTTACTTTTAATTAAGCACCACATGATGTGTAAAATTATTTGTTTTGTCGATGTGTGAAGTGTCCTTCTATTTGATTTAACAGAAATTAATTTACTTCATTCTAAAAGCTACATTTTTTGTACCTGCAGAGCACACTCAATTGAACGTCAAAAGATAGCGTCCAGAATGACTAAAAATACTATTTCTATACAAAATCCATTGTCCTCTAAATAAATCCTTTTTTGAGTACTTGATATGCATTTTTTAAGAATTGCTCTTGTTTTATAATTTCCTTTATAAGGGATTTAGTGCTTTCATAGGATTAACAACTCTGAAGCTTTCCTTGACGTTCCAACTTTTTAAAGTTTTCAGATTCTTACAGTTAAACCGTTTCTTCACAGATTGTCCTCATCCTACAACGTTTCTGTCACTGATATACTGCCTGTACTATTTTTACACGCATGCACAACTTGCTTGTGACATGTAATATTTTATTCTTCCAACATTTTTTGAGTTTATTCAGGATTTTTCCTGGGAAAAAGCACAAAACTACATCGTGATTTAATGCTCCATGACGTTCGAAAACGTCATCGTATTCGTCAGTTTCAATAAGAACTACCTCACAAAGTATCTTCTCAAGTTTATTTAAGGAATGAAGCTAATTTCAACTTATGTTATCCGATATAACATAACTTGGGGCAGTTTACGCTTTATAAACCGCGAAGCGGTTTATAAGAAAGCGTAAACTGCCCCAAGTTTTGTTATATCGGATAACATAAGTTGAAATAAGCTTCATTATTATACTTTAATTTCAGTGCAGACAATGAGACTATTTTGCCTCCGGAAAAAGGCTTCAAAATTATTATACTTTAAAACTAACGTCAAGAGGAGTAGTACGTTTTTGACGTAACTCATTGTGACGTAGGCAAGTTATGTTATACAAAATGTTATATGTTCCTCTGAATGATTCAGCCAATGAAATTGCTTGATACAAGTGAAATTAAATTATTTCTTTTCAACAAAGCAAAATAATCAGCCATAATTTGGAATACGAATCGATGTAACAATTCTTAATTTGAATTTCTAAGTTATTTTTCGTTTCGCTCCATTATATAGAGAATATGACAACAGACATTACTTAGGTTATTGTTTGTAACTAAATTTTGACCTGCTTCGGTCCGCGATGCAAATTTTGCGTTTGTAAAATCTGGATAAGTTTTTAATAAATTCCGATATTTAATAATGATTTATACAAATCATTTAAAGTTATTGTTAAAATATTTCTTCCAAATTTGGATAGCATATGACATCAAATAAAAAAGATATGACAGACGTCGACGAACTTTTCGAATAATATGTCTAACATCTTTACTTACATGGCATTCATGGCGCAATATCTATCTATCTATCTATCTATGTACGACTCGGTTTGTGTACGAAGTGACTGGACACCATTTGGATTTGATTACTGAAAAAATCACCCTCAAATACACTGGAAGGGTGCAAAACTGGTTTATTTTTTTTTTAAATAGAGTAAAGTAAAATTCAAGGTGAAAAGAAAATAGTTTTTTGTACAGTATTTAGTTATTAGGAAATATTAAAGAAAACAGTATTCATAATTAAAAGATATAAAAGCACTGGTATATAATTTAAAAGGTATGAGGTTATCAGTTTGCTCATTTCCAGTTTAAAATGTTCAACTTCTAGAAGTGAATCAAAGCTGCCCGTTAATCTATTCTACTGAATTATTTAGTGAGTGGGAAGAAGAGTATTTATAAACATTTTTTGTAGTTTCTATCCGTCCAAAGAAAGAGAAAAAAGATGACCAAGTAGTCCTAGTAGAGGGAACAAGTTGAACTGGGGTGGTGACTACAAGGCCATGTATGATCTTGTACGAAATCAGCCCTCCTTAATTGCAAACTTTGCAAACCTAGGGTGTGTAGTATACACAATTCACTTTGATATCCTACTATCATCTGACATTACCCATCTTGCAACTCTGAGCTTTACTGCCTCAGTTTGGTACGTATAATTGTGTAACTAAGTGAGGGTTCCAATATCTTTGGTTACCATCCTTGTATGCTGCTGACCGAAACTTCTGGTTCCTGTTTGGCATTTTTCTAAGTAAAAAGTCAAGGGACCTGTTGGCTATTTTGTTGCTTGGCTGATCTGCTTACAACAATTCAGTTTATCAGATATTTCGACACTTAGATACCGCGACCTGATGAGGTAGTATCTAACACCTGACCATTAAGTCTGTATTTGGTACGAATCGGGTATTGGATTGAATTCCATATCCCATATTGTCTCCCAGTGCTCTAGTTGCTTGAAGTTCTTTTTGAGCATTGCATGACAACATTGTCAATCTGTAGTAACAGTATCATCTGCGAAGAGCCTAACTTGTGACTTAAATTGCTCCTGTAAATTCTTAATATAATCAAAAAAGGTTGGGACCAAGAACTGTGCACAATGGACCCAGATATAACAGGGATGGATGAAGAAACCTCGCCGTCTACCACTACCTTCTGGGAATGGTGAAAGAGGGTTTGAGTTTTTGGGTTTACCTCATGACGATATTAAGGCACTGACTGAATATAGCTTTGGTTTATTAGTTTACTTTAATTTATTCATGCAATCAGGGTTTGCAGGATAAATTAAAGGTTGCATGTGACGCAAAACCAGTTCTTACTTAACTTTTAGGTCAACACAAATGGTGTCATATCTTTCCTGAAAACGGTTTCAACATATACCCCGAATCCCTTCCCACTGGATGGCGACCGAAGGCTGGTTGCAATTTTCTGGGCTGATGTCGACACACGAAAAGGAGGGACTGTCTGGTATCGAGAGTCAACCAATCAAACAATACTAGAAAGAGCAACAAACGAAGTCAGAACATACTTCCCACAGTTCTTCCGTTTTCAAGCTACTTGGGTATTCATAGCTACCTGGGATAATGTTGCATTCTTCGGTTGTTCTCCATGCACGAAGGTAAAGATTCATTATTCTTTACTTTCTATTCAATTCAACATTGTACTCCACTATAATAGGTGCATTACTATATTATTATGTAATTTGCAGAGAAATACATTTCAAGAGATTCTTATTACAAACGGCCAACATTCGTTCACTGTTTTTAATTATGGACAAATTGAATGGACAACGGGAAAATTCAGTGGCGGGGATGAAAGAACGGGCCTTGGAGGGACACCTGCTCAAGTAAGAATTAACGACGTTCGATCCTGATATTTAAAGTCTTAAACTTTTTTTGCCAAGTATATTTTTAGTTTCTACATACATAGCTTAATTTAAATTCAAATCAAAAAATGGGGGTCAATACGCTTCTTTTGGCGATATAGTACATTTAATATGACCTTTTTGCGCTGAAATTTGTGTCTTAATTAAAAATTAAATTTTTGACGTTTTCCCTCCAATATTTTTATCCAATTAAAGCTTGAAACAAAATGAAATCTAAGTTTGTTTAAAAAAAGACAATTAAAAATTGTTACTAAGAAAAAGTCTCAAATTGCTTCGCATAATCAATTATTTGACCTTTCTGCACTAATAAAAAGTTATTAATCTGGCATTGAAAATTTAATAAGCAAGAAAATTATTTTAAAGTCTTAAACTTTTTCTTATTTTAAGCAAATAGGTCAAATTTATCTTAAATATATAGAAAAGGACATCAAAATTGGGGGTATATGATGTAAATTTTTAGATATTACTAAAAAAGTGTCAATTTTATGTTAAAATTGGTTCAATTTTTTCCCGGATTTTCAGAATATATTTACTATATTTGTCATACTTTGTTGATAGAATTCATTAGAAATAATTTAATAGATATTTCAGAACCAGCATAACACATTTCACTGCAAAAATCAGCTTTTTGTGCAACCAGGATGGAAAAATAGGAGTCCCAAATTAACAGTACTGTAATAGTTCAAAATAGAAAAAAATTATCATTTTCGTCTAAAAAACCTTCCGCCACAAAATATAGTCCCTAGATTAATTCTACTTGAATGGAATTTAATCGCGGTTTTTTCATTGAATATAGTTAAATTTTGTTTAGACGAGCCATCGAAAACACGTGTGATCAATTTAATCATTTAATAAGAACACTCAAATACGTGACGTCATACACAACACTACACATAAAGGTCACATGGTACACAAACAGCTGATAATGAATGAATGAAACATGAATCCGAAACATCTTTCCCTCCCAGCTAAGGAAATACAATGAACTCTAAACAAAATTATCTTTAGACTAGAATATACATTTGACTAGAACATGCATTATCTGAGTAATTTAAAAGGTACTTATTTCATGTGAACATAGAATACAAACAACTCTACAAAAACATAATCAATTCAAACAAGCTTAAACATTCAATTTTTCTGAAAAAACACATATATCTTTAACCAAATGTCATTATATTTAAACGTAATCATCAAGGTTCTTTGGACGTTGGACGACGCGTCCGCTGCGCGTTTGCACCACTCCTGGTCTTGGTGACTGTGGAATTTTAGGAATGTCGCACGCGATTTTAGGCTCCTGTTGTGGCGATTGCGATTCCTTAACAACAACTGGTGGTGTTTGGTCAGCATCAGGGATAAACGTCTCAGCAGGAATTACAGGATTGCTATAATCAGAGAACGAAAGTTTGTCGGTCTTCTGAAGATGTCGACGGTTCCTGCGGTACGAACCTCTTGGCGTCTCTATGATGTACGAACGCGTGTTTGGATCTCCCTCCTGCACGGTTCCTTGCGTAAGCCATAGTTTGTCCTTGTTCGTCTTGATTCTGACTGAATCTCCTGGCTTAAGTTCCTCCAATGGACGCACATTATGACGTCGGTCATAACCGGATTTATAACGCTCCTTGTATCTTTGATCACGGAGATACACATCATCATGGTCCATCCACTCGGGGTCTAGTCTTTCTGGTAGTGTAGGAACAGTTGTGCGTAGCTTTCGTCCCATCATGAGTTCAGCTGGGCTTTGACCTGTCGTTTCAATTGGTGAATTGCGGTACGATAGCAATGCCTTAAAAATATCATCCTGGCGAAGAATTCTCTTTGAAATCTTTACGGCGCTTTCTGCCTCCCCATTGGATTGCGGATAATGAGGACTCGAAAAGGTCTGTCGGAATTTGTAATTTACTGCAAATTCGTGGAAAGCTTCTGAAGTGAACTGTGTTCCATTATCAGATACGAGCTCCTCTGGTATTCCCCATCGTGAAAACATGTTTTTCATTTTCCCAATAACTTGCGCACTGGTGATAGACTGTAGGAACACTATCTCTATGAATCTGGAGAAATAGTCTATGACAACTAAGAAGTGTTTTCCATCTAATTCACACAAGTCTGCACCAACCTTCTGCCATGGTCGACTTGGCAACGGGGGTATACTTCAATGGTTCTTTCAGTTGTGATGGTCGGTGAGTTTGGCAAAATTCACAAGTGTTAATCAGGTTGCGAATGTCCTAAGTAATGCCGGGCCACCAAACGGAATCCTGGGCTCTTGCTCTGCACTTAGCAAGTCCAAGGTGTCCATCATGTATGCTCCTTAGAACTTCATCTCGGAGAGTCTTTGGTATTACAATGCGATTTCGGTACAAAAGTAGTCCTCTCGACACTGACAGTTCACTGCGTGTAACAAAGTAGTCTCGTAACTCCTTTCTGTAAATCGAATTCATGTGATTCGGCCATCCATGGCGTGTATGGCTGATTGCCTCTTGAAGGGTGCTGTCTCCCTCTGTAGCTTGCTGCATCTGCTCTAGTAGTTTGTCTGTCAATGGTCTTGTATTCTCTACAAAGTCAATATAACATTCGACTTCCTCAGCAAGAGTATCCCCCTCATTTGGTTTTCCTAACGGACTTCTTGAGAGGGTGTCTGGAACAATAAGGTGTTTTCCAGGAACGTGTTCTGCATGTAAGCTGTATCCTCGTAGTCGCATAAGCATGCGCTGACAACGCAAAGGTGCTTTGTCTAAGTCTTGCATATTAATCAAAGGAACTAAGGGTTTGTGATCTGTAAGTAACTTGAATGATTTCAGTCCCACTACATAACGCGAGAATTTTTCACAAGCCCAAAGTGAAGCTAAGCACTCTTTCTCAATCTGAGCATATTTCAGCTCAGCACTGGTCAGTTTCCTAGAACAATAAGCGACTGGCTTGAATTCGTCTCCTTCCTGCTGGAAAAGAGCTGCTCCTAAGCCAAAGCTGCTGGCGTCTGCACTGACGACAATTGGCTTCCGTGGATCGTAGAATGTTAAAACTGGAGCACAAGTAAGTAATTCCTTCACGCGACTGAATGCATTAGCTTGAGCTTTGTCCCATAACCAGGCACTTCCGGATTTCAGCAGATCTGTCATTGGGCTAATCACTGAAGCTAGCTCAGGAATGAATCGTCCTAGGTAGTTCACCATTCCAATGAATCTACGTAGTTCTGTAAGGTTAGTTGGAGTTTCCATCTGTCTGATGGCATCGACTCTACTGTTGCTTGGTCGGATACCTTCAGATGAAATAACGTGTCCAAAGTACTCTATCTCGGTCTTACGGAATTCACACTTTTCACGGTTCAATTTGAGTCCCGAATCCTGGATTCTATGTAGCACTGTGTCCAGCCTGTCATCATGTTCTTTGCGAGTTTTCCCGTGAATCAGAATATCATCAATGATAACTTCCACCCCATTGATTCCATGTAGTAATTCTGTCATCTTACGCTGGAAGATTTCTGGAGCCGATGTAATTCCAAATGGTACTCGTCTAAAGCAGTAACGTCCCATGGGTGTTATGAACGTTGTCAATTCACAGCTATCAGGGTGTAGGGGTATTTGGTAAAACCCACTTGATGCATCAAGTTTTGAAAACAACGTTGATCCTGTTAGTCTTGGTGAGATATCGTCGAGATTTGGAAGCATGTAATGTTCTCTTTTTACGGCTTCATTAAGTTTCTTTAGGTCAACACAAATCCTTACATTTCCGTTCTTTTTCAGCACTGGCACCATAGGCGCACACCAGTCCGTTGGCCTCTCCATCTTTTCGATTATGCCCTCTTTCTCGAGTCTGTTCTATTCCGCTTCTACCTTTGACATCAGTGGAAATGCGATATGATGGGCAGTTGTTAAACAGTACGGCTTAGCATCATTTCTAAGGGTTTACAGGCTCACATTTCACTAGTCCGAAACTTCCAAACAAACTTGATTCAACACTGTCAACTTTCTTTATAAGTCCAAACTTGTGTGCAGCTGATCGTCCAAAAAGGTTGCTCGTTCCTCTAATAACATGAATTGGAAACGCAAAGTTTTGGTCCTTAAAGTTAGCCTCAGCTGTGAAAACTCCAAGACAGTCAATTCGTCCTCCAGGCCCAAACAAAGCGGTGTTGGCTGATTTCAGTTTCGGTGGGTACTGAAGCTCACGGTAAGTTGATTCACCCATGACTGAGGTATCTGCTCCTGAATCGATCTTGAACGGTATAGTTTTCCCACAGACTTTCAGGTTCACTTTCCATGCTGCTTCATCGTCATAACAAGTAGTGATCGAGCCAAGGAATCCCGATTCTGCATACAATCCTCCAGGTTCTGGATGTACTATTTCCGCTATGCTATTCTGGTTACAACACACGGCAAAGTGATCATATTTGTGACACCGTCTGCACTGTTTTCCCTTAGCGAAACAATGATCCCTTGCATGTCGTAGATTACACTTGTTACACTTGCCTTGACCTTGTTCTGTGGTGTGATGGCTACCTCTACCACGCCCACCTGAGTGTCTGTGTCCTCGACCTCTGCCTCGGCCAGTGTTGAAATTCCTCGGACTTTGACTTGTAGCACTATGTTTACGGACTGCCTCCACATTTGTAGCTGACACACTCTGGTCCTTGATCTGTGATTTAACCATTTCTGATTGCCGCGCAATTTCTACTGCTTTCTCAAGTGTCAGGTCTGATCTGAGCTGTAGTTTCTCAGAGAGTTCTTTGTCAGAAATTCCTATCACTAATCGATTTCTAATCTGCTCCTTCTTGTCAGCAAAGTCACATTATTCTGAAATTTCGTGGAGGTTTCTAACAAAAGTTTCTATTGACTCACCGGGTTGTTGTGCGCGCTGATGAAATCTGGCTCGTTCGTGGATAATATTTCTCTTTGGAATGAAATATTCGTCAAATTTCTTGAAGACTTTGTCAAACTTCTTCTTATCATCTTGATCTTCGAACTGTAGTGACTTAAAAATGTGCTCTGCCTCCTTACCCATTGCGTAAATGAGTGCGCTGATCTGGACCTCGGGGTCATCTTTGTTCATCTTCGACGCCATTCTGAAGCGCGAAAATCTCTCCTTCCAGTCGAGCCACTCTGTCGGGTTGCTGAAGTTAAAACTACCGGAGGGTTGAAACGAGGCATGGTTCTGTTATCGGCTTAATCTATCTGTCCGCTAAATATGCAGGAAAAATTACTGAAATCCCACTTCTGACACCATGTTTAGACGAGCCATCGAAAACACGTGTGATCAATTTAATCATTTAATAAGAACACTCAAATACGTGACGTCATACACAACACTACACATAAAGGTCACATGGTACACAAACAGCTGATAATGAATGAATGAAACATGAATCCGAAACAAATTTGCACTGTAGAATTCAGATTTAATGTTAGAACTTAAAAATGATGCAGAATTTTATAAATAAAGGACATGACCAAAATACGCTCAAAATATGAGGATCGAACGTCCTTAACACATCTAAGTTTAAAGTTTCAATGGCAGATAAAACGTTGCAGGTTCGAATCCCACTGCGAAGTGTGGCGACCGGTCCTACGGATGGATGAGACCGTATTATTTGAGGTCTAGTGTAACGGTAGGTGACAGCACGGAAAGATCTCTCATTCCTCAATGGCCAGAATTTGTAAGATTTTATGGCCCTCCGTGGACTGCGCTAGGTCACATGCCTGAGAATGTTAAACAGTCTCCTCTATAATAACGTCCTCAGGACTTTTCATTTTTGATTTCTGTACATTTATTTTGAGAGTATTCAAAATCAGAATGTACTCTTAAATTGTAAATTATTTTTTTTGGTATATATATATATATATATATATATATATATATATATATATATATATATATATATATATATATATATATATATATATATATATATGTATGGTAAAAATATTTACAAGTTGGGATATAATGATATAAGTATCTAAATAGAGTTTCGTGGAGCATTAAAAGGGTATGGAAACCGTTTTATTAGTTTAACATTGTAATTTCAATTATAACTCGAAAATATTTTCATTACTTATTGTTTTCTCTTTGATAACTCTGAGAAAATTAGGTGAGTTGATTTCTTGACAACATCCTTTTTGATGTAAAGAATCCTATGTTTCCTTAGTCCATATTTTTATTATTATTTGCTGTGGGACATGTGCTGTCCAATCATGAGTAACACTAATTAATGTTTGAGAAAGCTTCACCCTTGTGTGGAATTTGTAGTAACGAATTCCTGAGAGTTAACCCCCCGTTGTCGGCGTAATGCTTTTGTCTTTTTCATAGTATTTTCGACCTTTACCTTCTGTCAAACAACTTTGATCCATTTCTGCATTGCCTCAGTTTGGGCAACATATAACCCATTCAATGGCAAAGATTTAAGCATTTCGAGACAAATTGATATGAAGATTACAATGCATTTTTGGCGTATTTCTTGTAGTTTGTGTATATTATTTATATTTATCAATGTATATATATTCTGAAAGCAGGTATTGTGTTGTGTCTGAAAATGATTATAAAATTTCATTTCAGTTGCCATAGCAACGAAATACACCATAATCATGATTGAATTTCTATTTATCAAATAATGAGTTTCATTCTAGTTTTTTGTTTTTGTTTTTTGTTTCTTTTTTTTTTTTTTTTTTTTTTTTTTTTTTTTTTTTTTTTTGTTTTTTTTTTGTTTTGCTTAGTTAAACAGTTCAAAAAAATAATTTATTGTTGTGTTGAAAATTATGAACATGTTGTACTTTTTTTTACAAACCAATTTGAAGTATTTTGGGGGGATTGGATAGGGATTTAGCATTTTTACAAATAAAATGTTATCCCTGCATTGGTTTCAATAATGGCAAAACCACTCAAATAGTGTGCAAAGTTTTACTCAAGCTAGCAAAACACTGGTAGAACCAATAATTTTTTTGTACATTATTTTACCGTTTTTATTTTCTCTTTCCAACGGTGCAAGATTGATTCTGATATTTCCAGTATTGACGAAGTTATGAATGTTTTTTCACACTATACTTGTTTTTCAAGTCAGAAGCGTAGAAATGCGTATATGCCATGCAAGGGGATAAACGGACATATTCATACCGACTGTATTAGTAAGACATTGTCTCATAAAATTTATAGACCTCATGTGAGGGAAAACAGTGTTTTATGCCAGTTGACCCCAGATTGACCCGGCAAGGAGAAATAATTTTTGTAAATTATATAAAAGTCATCTATTACCTGAGTGACTTGCAATGGTTGCCATTCGACTAAGGAATTAAATTCAACGAAGAGCCAAGAGTTACACATGATGCATGCGATGCTGTAGAACGTCTGTTGCCATGGTTGCTGAACATTCGGTTAATGCAGTTGTTGGGGGCCACTTCCGATGTTGATACTTGAGCTGTGTATGCCCTGGTAGTTCACATGTAGAGTGATATGGATAAACCCTTAAGTAAGGATCGGTTTTCCAGTTCAAAGTGTTTTCACATGGCTTCCAGTATTTTTTTTTTTTGTTTTCTTGTAGTCTTGTTCTACTATGTTGAGATGCTTGTAAATTTTGAAACATTCTTTCCCATTATACTCAATCATGATGCAACTCTTATGGTGTCATCTTTTTAAACAGAGCTGTGTAGCTATTTCATAGTTCTCCCATTATGACTGAAAAATTTTAAATTACTTTTGAGATCTTCCCTGACTTCCATTTGGGAAATTTGATGCTGCCATGTTTTGGTCACGTGATTTCTATTTTCTCTTCTGTATATGTGTGCCATAATTGTAATATCTCTGCAGTCAGGGTTGTTTTCTGTTATCTTGCTTGAAAATCAGTTTGCCAGTATAAGAATATTTAGTTACAAGTCTGATGAAATTCAAGGAAAGCCAGGAATATCAATGTTTTCATACCTGAGTTGGAAAGATAAATCCTTCCGAATCAGTCCTTTGTTTTCAGTTCCCGCGTGTTTAATCAAGCATCACAAAACATCACTGCATGTACTCAAATTTATCAAAAAAGTAATTTAGGCTTTCAAAAACGCCTCACATGTCTCTTGTCCTCACTAAACGTCTGTGTATAAGTTATGCTAACGAAATAAATCCCTTGCAAATTCAGTGCTAAGCTTCAATGGATAACAGACGAAGGAAGAGCAAAATACACATGTGTAATGGATGTGGCTAAGCAGTTATATACATTTGCATGAGAGTTATCTTTCCTGGACCATATTTCTATTTGTCTCCATAACATGACTTAACTCATATCGAGATACGTTTAATTAATATTCACAAATTTTCCCGAGTTAAACGTTCTTACAATGTACAAATGATAAATGATTAAGTTCGCTTAGGTTTCCTTCCTAAGAATCACGTTTATAGCGAATTAAAACAAACTTCAATAACAAAGGCGAACAACTGACTGAAAGTCACTATATAAACATTTTCCTTGGTCCTATCTGGATAATGATTAGCAAATCAAATGAAAACGAACTGTAACAAAAGAATCACCAATAATTTATCAAACCAATGATCAAATATAAAACCTATCTCTGTAGCTGCAGCACAGACTGAGTGGTATAACCATCAATTCTGTTGTTTCCCGACACAATCTGCAACTACCTAAAACACACCCTATAGAAATCACAAAGTCACAGATACATCTAAAGACACACAAACACAAGCTAAAGTCACCAAGACACCATAGCTATCAACAGGACACGACTTTTGGTAAGACACAAGCTAAAGTCACAGAGACACCATAGCTAGTCACAAAGACACTAGGGAACTGGGTCCCTGGGCTGAGTGGTCTAACTAACAATTCTGTTGTTTCCCGACACAGCCCGGGTACCCTTCCCAAGTCAACTCCGACAAAGAGTTACACCAAAAGTAAACGAAACAAGATTGATCCCTGTATTTATACTATTTCTCCTATGCCTAATTGCTACTCATTGGTTAATTAATTCTAATGATTTGATTGGCTAAAATATCAACACTGATTGGCTACACATAATATGATTTGATTGGGTGATTTAAAAACCTATTTCAATCCACTTAACTAATTCTGATTCATTACAAGGTCCTTTGATTTCTGAAGTCCGAAATATTATGATAAAATCAAACGACCTACAGGAAAAAAGAGCAATTTAATCTAAAGGTAACACAAAGTAGATTTACTCTATCTAATATACATTTGAAACTGAGTGCAGACATTGACCCTGAAAACACCAGAAGTGAGATCATGTGCTTTGAAGGAGTATCCCCTGTCTACCAGCCATTGTCGCCGTGCGCTCCTTGTCATAATCGGGAAAACAGAGATATTTGTAGACAATGCAGCATGAAAACATTGGCCTAACAATTTGTAGGAATACTGCCAGACAATATTCGAAAAAACAACATTAAAAGACTTTTTTGTTAACAAGGCAATCGTATCGATCGTAGACTTTGCGAAATTTAAAAGAGATTGTCAATAAACCTTTGTATCATCAACAAACTCGTTCATTCCCTGCCACGATAAATTTTTGATAGGACGGAACAAACTCAAATTTTTATCATGAAGTTTTATAGTATATGTTTATCAATGTTTTTGATATCGATCATTAGCTCAAACTGAAAGACCTAACTTTTTCTTTATTAATTTCTTTATTAAAGGTAACGATCTTAAGATTTTAAAAAGTTTCAGAAAGGATCTTTTATTTGAAAATCTTATTCATATTATTATGTAGGTTGGTTTTAATGCAGGAGATGGCAAAGTATTTTTTGTCGTCGATGCCTCTAGAACTCCAGACATCGTCAACGTTAACCACATGACAAATATTGGAATACCGGGAAAGTTCGCTTTTCGTATTGATGCCGCTGAGATTGGTAACGGTGGCTGTAATACACAAGGTGCGAAGTAATTAATAAGTCACCATATCATATGATGCTTTGGTAGATATTAGCCAAGATGATGTTTTCATACAGCTGGAATTTTTTAAATTATCTTTTCAAACCACCATGCGGATGAGCTATACAGGGATCCACTTTTTGTCTATCACTTCGTGTGTTCATTTATTCTTTCGTTAATTTTTTTTCAATTGAAACTAAATTGTAATTTGCACTTGTGCACAAAGATTTTATGATTATTCAACGATTCATTCAACAAAATCCAAACTTAATCTGTACCTCACTTCTGTATTCACTTTCATATCAAAAATCAGCTTAATATCTGCAAGCGTTTTAGATAAAAAGCAAGGGGAACAGACTTACAATAAGATGGAGGAACAGCTAGACGGACAGACAGACGGGGTGGAAACCTAAAACCCCCTTCGTTTTTACCGGGGTCTGATAAAATAGTGTGGTGATATTGATTTTTACAGGGACATATTTCCTTAGTGTTTGCTCGTGTTACGATCAATTTAATTTTCCAAACAACAACTATAGATAAGGCTTGAAATTAACTTAACATAGCCAATAATGCATTTTTTGGCTCATTTCAAGATAAGCCATTTTCTACTGTCGTGATTTTTTTTATTGAAAGCAAAACTATGTAATACATTATTAATGATATCATTCGCTAATCTCAGCGACTGACATTAAGCAGATTACTTCTTTGAAGTTTGTTTTGATATTAAAAACGAACAGGTCGAATAACTTTACAGAACAAAAAAAAACTCCAAAACAAATATAAAAAATATCTTAGCTACAAGATGCATGAACAGGCGAAAGACACTTTAATCCGTGATATCCTTGCCATTTTCAATTAAAGCGAAATGACTAGTAAATTATCCGAACTTTTTTTGATTTGTTCTTGTGAATTTCATATGTATATATTATATTTATATATATTTTAAAATACAGGCAACTTGCTGATTTCACCGAGGCACGGTCCGATGCTGGGAGGTCAATACTTAGTGATAAGCGGACCGTGCATTAACCAAGACGATGTTATCCAGATACAATATTCCCCAATGCTGACGTTATTTCATTGCAAACGAGAATCAAACTACAGTGCCATCTGTATCACTCCGATATTTAACATAACTGATGACATCACGGTCAACGTCATCATTAGAGACAACAAGGGACAGGAACAACACCATACAGGACTCTATACGATAGGTATTACATAAATAAAGTCAAATAATCAATCTAATTCAATAATTTTAAATAGAATTTCTTATGTATGTTTCTAAGATTAGAGAATACAAAACACAAACAGAGAAACATATTTCCCTTCAAAGGAAGGGCCGGGTCATAAAATGATATTTTATCTAAAAAACAGATGCATTTCATCTTAGAAATCTGCCAATGAACGATAATGGCACAACAGATAAAATTTAAAGAACACCAATTTTATAAAGAAAGACAAATATGCCATTTACTACACAGTAAATATCGAATGTCAAAAAATATTTTTTTTAAATTTAAATTGAAGATTATTCAGGAGACAATATTTGCAAAATGCCAACTGTTTTAAAGACCCAATTTTTTTACCGTACGGTTACCTGAGGAGGGGGAGTGGTCCAAGTAACAGTGGTGTTATTTGCCTGGAGACCCCCAATACCCAAGATGTCAAAAATCTATATACACGTAGCATTACACAGGAAGTCTGTGTCTGGTGATCAGGGTCAACATTCCGTGTTTCATGTTTAAATCGGAGTGAAACTGCTTGAAATAATTGAAATATTTCAATATAAAGTTTATTTATTTATACTTTCAGCGATATTTAATGAAGAAAAAAAGTTATAAGGAAATATCGTTTTTCTATTTTAAAAAAAAATGTAAAATTAAAGACAAGAACACAGAGTAAAACTACAAAGCAAACATTCCTTTTTTAATTAAACTTGTGTAACTATCAAAATTTAAAAGAATAATAAAATATTCCATTCATAGGCCTATCCGTTTTGTGAACATATACAATGTGCCGCAGGAATATATTTTGCCTACGTTCTGACCAACAATAGTGTCGAAAATATTCACCATTTCCGGGTGTTCGTGTGTTTAAAAATTTTTACTGTTTGCAAGATTTCTTTTATACTTTTAAGAATTGATCTTTGGCTTTATATGTTCACTTTTTAACTTCGAATATTGGGTATTGACAGACGTTAGGAAATTCGAACTAAAAGTTACAATCTCGAAACGCATGTTTCTGACATTTCAATTACAACGGAACATGGTGGAGATTGTATTCAAATATACATTGATAAAACATTGGATAAAGGAATTTTTTTATCCATGCCGTTTGTGCTAATATATCTTTTCTTATTTATCATATTCCAATTTTAATCGGCAAATAGCGTTTCTGTGCACGGACTGCTCTAAATTCTACAGCAGATATCTTGGACGACATATCGCCTAAAATACAATATAACCGTTGAGATTGAAAGCAAATATTTTATGAAATCATGTTGTAATTATCTGCTCTCAATTGTTTTTGAAAAAAAAAATTACCAAGATTCCTTTTTTTAACCCCCGTGTATACAAGGCGGCTACATGAAAGTGTTTGACGCGTGACCAAGCAATCGTTTTCAAAAGACACAAACTCAGACTATCAAGTAGCACGGGTAGCTGGCCTGTCAATCAAATCAGAAGCTATTGTTTTTTTAATGATTGACAGGCGGTAAATTATTGATCTTGAATCAGGTAGATTTTGGGGGCGTTAACATAAAATTGGGTGTTTAAGAAGGTTAAAATAAACTCAGCCTGTTGCCTCACTCTGTTTCATGGCTTTCGTGATTCAAATTAAAATCCCATCCATGGAAGACTTCTGACTTTAATTTAACGAGTTGGTTTTTCAATTTAAACTTTTTGATGAAGAAGGATATTGAGATAACGAACAGTATTCAATCTCAACGTCCATTAAACAATATACAAAACATTTACATCACATTTACATTATTACACTGCGGGCTTGAGAGATTTCCAACACTATCGACATTGTCATTACATCCATAGGGAAAGGCTGTCCCTAGTTCTCTAATCCAAAATTCTTCTCGTTGTCTACGGAAAGGTGTACTCACCGACGGACTATTTGTGTGGTGATAAATCTTTTCGAGAATTCTAACTTTCATTGATAAAATAGAATGATCAGGTGAATTAAAATGTAAAAGCTGCTGACCACCATGATTTATTTGAAATCGATGACCTGATATTCTTTTGTTAAGCGATCCCTTGGTTTCACCGACATAAATAAGTCCACACAGGTTGCATTCTATTCCATAGACAACATTAGAAGATGAATTTCAAGCATTTGATAAAAGTTTATTAACTTTCTATGATAAAACTCAATATATATTTTATTTCATGTTTCTTTTATTTATATAGTGAATCCAGCTTTGTTTAAAAATCCTGTAAAAAGACACCAGCCTCAAAATTGGAACAATGGCCAACAACACGTAGTTTCCTGGGATCCTCATGTTTTTGAACTGAAGGATTCCGAACATGTTCAGATACACTTATTCACTATAAAAGTAAAGCAGATTTACATAAATTTCTGTAAAATATGATTTTCATATGCATAATACATACAGCTGTAGAGAAAAAATACATAATTACCCTTTTCCATATCACATACTGTATCAGCCCTCGACCAATTATCAGCCCTTGGGCCTTCGGACCTCTGCTGATATTGGTGTCTCGGGCTGATACAGGATGTGATGTGGAATAGGGTGTGTTTTATTATATTTATTACATACTTAGTTATAAAATACAATACACATCAAGTTGAGAAGAAAATAAGTAAATAATCAAGCATGGACTTTTTACATGTTCACGATCTATTGTCTTAAACGGTTTGAGTTTGTTTTCTACATGTACTTCTATTAATAAATTGATTATTTGTCAATTAGATTATCCTTACATTCAAAAAATTAAAATTAAGAGAATACATAACCCCCAAAATATGTGTATGATCACAAACACTGTTTTGAGTTTTATTTTACTGGAAGTGTGATATTGATCCGTATCAGCCTCGCAGATCCATATCAGCCCTGCAACGACTATTGTTACATCAAGCATATCGCTTATGCAAAATTCCTGCATTTATTGCTAAGTATGTAATAAAACGTTAAATGAACATTCGTAAATTATGTTTGTTTTTGTAGGAACAGTTGCACAACCAGCTTGTGTGGGAAAAAACTGTGTTGCACGAAGACATACCGACAATCCTTGGAACATATACCATTGGACTTCAGACGGATGGGTATATGGCGGCAATCCGTATCACTGCCGCTTTAGAAACAGATACTGACTCGTAATTGTTATGACTTGTTTATGTAACCTATGGTATTTCATATTAATTTACTTTTGCTTGTTCGATACAAATACATGTTAGTCCAGGAACGTTGGCTCATATATTTATACAACCTTCTTCAGCAAAACATAACCCTAACTAAAAATCAAATTATTTAAGAACAACATGCTGTTAGCCATGTAATATTTATAACCAACGAATGATTCTCCTTTATTTACAAGAAAACCCTTAGCCGTTTATCAGTGCATAAACAACAAAAGGCATGTCATCTGTACATATATCTTGATCAGTGGCCGTTCCATCGATGGAACGTGCTAAGCGAAACGTATAATACATAAATTAACCTTTATAATCCTACTTTTAATGATTATTTAAACAGAAATAAATATAAACAATAAAATGTCTTTCTTTGGTTGTTAGTACTGGAATGAATATCACAGTTATTACATATTAAATTACAAATTACATATCCCGCTTACGCAGGTTATTTATTTTTTTCTGCAACAGCTACGACATTCATTCCAGTACTAACAACCGAAGAAAGCATTCTGTTGTTTAATTATTATCTCTTGTTGAATATCACTGAAATTTCTAGTCTTTTCTATCTTATTATATATTTTTCTTCCAGACCAGAAAGGGGTATTTGGTCAGATATCTTTGCAGTTGTTCCGCAACGCCAAAAATCAAGGCGGTTTTGCCAAAACTGGTTAAGACAAGAATTTCACCTTTCTGGAGTGTCGTCGGAGAACATTCCACCCTGTCCTTGCACACTACAGCAAGCTCTGATGGACACGGCTCGATACCAGCCTGATCCCGACTGTAATATGGTAACAAAGACCAGGGATGGTGACTTCAATTGCCTGTACAGAGCTGATGCCCAGCACTGTGTTAGACTCAGTATGCCCGGGTAAAATATTTAAGTTTACTATTCTTTGGGTATTGCACTATGAAAACGCCATTTGATTGATTGATTAATCGATTAATTATTGTTTTACGCACCATTCAAATTTTTCACTCATTTCACAAGAGGTCACAGAGGTGAAGGGATTTTGATTTTGACCTTTACTCGGCACTTAGGGTCATTGAGCAGCGAGAGATTTTTACCATGCAATCGCCTGCCCTGACATGGTACTTCGGTTTTTAAGGTTTCATTCGAAGGACCTGCAACTGTCACTTCAAAGTGCCGAGCATATGGCCAAGTAACAGTTGCTATATACCTAATCTCGGCGAGATGTCGTAGGGACTGAAATATTTGGTCGGACGTCCACTACGACATCTCAGTCTACTTCCACACAGCTTGATTAGGGATTTTTGGCTCAGATTTCGACCGCTTGTTTCAATCAATATGGGCTGAAATGAATTATCTGCTCGCTTCAGCTTTTTCCTTTGAACATCCCTTTAAGTCTCTATCACAATAACACTTTCCTTTCCTTTCCTTTTTCCTTTCTTCCCTTTAAAATGTTTAAATCCAACACAATATAAAGTTGTTTATTTTTCCTCTGTAATGTTCCATTCATTTAAATCTCCGATGTTGAAGAGTTCCACAATAGTGTGCTCTGAATTATTCGTTCTACTACTATTTCCTATAGGAATGAACTATAGTACGAATTATTCAAAGCAGACTATTTTGGAACTCTTCAAAATCGGAGGTTTAAATAACTGGACTTCTCGGAGACTTTGATGGGAACCCTTCCAACGACTTAATATTACCAAATGGAACGGTTTTGAAGCCAAATGCAACGGAAGAATATATCTTTTCATCTTTTTAATAATGCATGTAAGTGGTGCGCAAAACTTAATTTTAAGATCCGAATTTATAAATGTTTTTGAAAATTGTTTTAGCATAATTTAAGCTTTGTCATTTAATTTTTCTTTTTTCTCTTTCAGGGAGAATCACAAATGCTGAATCTTTGTTCACTTATCCAAATGGTAAATCCTACATGTATTACAACAGTGATTCAAAGAAAAACTTTCGTCCAGTGTTTTTGTCATCTATTGCTAGTTCTTCGGGACAAGAGGCTAGAGAAGTGTGTGGAAACAACACAGACTGCTTGTTTGACTTTTATGTAACTGGGTCTCGGGAAATTGCTCAGGCTACCCTTCACTTTACATCTGAACTAGAGGATGCATTGAATGCGGCCAAGGAAGGTAGCTAAACAAGTTGTGTTGTGACATAAATATCTAAGATGACTCCAATGAATTTCACCTATTTGTATCTCTGTCTGTATGTCTGTCTATCTATGTGTTTATTCATCCATCTATCTATCTATTAAATGAAACCCCAATATTTTAGTGATCGCCTGTCCAGTACTCCAGTCCGTAAATGGGGGAAGTTGGCTTTCCAACAGCACAATAGAGAATGCGACGGCTACTTTTTACTGTCTTGAAAACTACTCGATGAATGGTACCTGTCAACCCAAAACGTGTATAAATGGAACATGGACTAATATCCAAATGTGCTCATGTGAAATGAGCCCGACAACAGCTGAATCTACACATCGAACAACTCCAGTCGCAGAATCATCGACAATGCCAACGACTACATCTAAAGGAACTTCAACCTCCAGAGCCACCACAAAAACTTCATTCTCGACAATCACCAGAGCGCCAAGAACTACACTTCTAACAACACCGACACTTTCAACCTCTACGGCAACCAGAAACAGGGCAATATCTACATCTCGAACAATATCACCTTCGAAAGGTACCAAACCACCGCCATCTATATCCCCAACGTTGACCTCGATAGTCACCACAACAAGAGAAACGACAACATCTCAAAAATTTTTAACCTCGACGGTCAGTAAAACAGTGCAAACAACTACACCTCAAAAAGTTTTACTCACGACAGTCAGCAAAACAACGCAAACAAATACACCTCAAAAAATTACAACCACGACGGTCAGCAAAACAGCTCGAACAACTACATCTCCAAATTTTTTTACTACGATGGTCAGCAAAACAGCGCAAACAACACCTCAAAAATCTTTAACAACGACGGTCAGCAAAACAGCGCAAACAACTACGCATCAAAAATCTTTAACAACGACGGTCAGCAAAACAGCGCGAACAACACATAAAACTCCCACCAATCCACACCTACCACAAACATCTTCAATGCATACAACCGCCCACAATAGAGTTTCTCTAAATCCCAAGGGACAAAACGCTGTATCAACAGATGACAGCTCTGTTATGCTGAAGTCTGTTTATAACTCTATCAAAATGATGTGGGTCAGCGTTGGTGGAGGAGTGATAATAATCATCATCATTGTTCTTATAACGTCCTTTGCCATCTGTTTCAAAATGAGGTAAACGAAATGTACAAATCAAAAAATATGTTCCTTTCCAAATCAGAAATATTTTTCAATATAGAAAGTATTTGTCATAACTTACATAATCTAGTGTATATAAACTGAATACTTAAACTTTAAGTTTTTTTTTTTAATTTCTGTTTGAATTTTGTAATACTAATTTTTTCCAGGGTCCTGTATACGTATTTCTATGTTATTTAAAAAAGACAACTTTATAAATCTGGATGTAAAGAATTAGGAATTATTAATGGATTTAAAAATATTATATAAGTTACTTTGATTGGAATTTAGAGCATTCTGCGTAATGAAAAAATGTTGAGCTAGCGACTTTATCATCAATCTGTTTTCATATATCTATGAAGCAGTATTTATTCAAAAAATGCTACATAAAAGGAAAAAATCGCTTGTATATTGTGGACTTCAAGTCGACTTTAATTTAGATGTGCCGACAAGGTTTTACCTTTTATCATATAATTATTTTCGTTCAAACATTGACTCAATATATCTCTATGTACTCGACATAGGATACGCAACAGAGTCTGCAAAATCTGATTCAAACTAAAATACTTTACTGACTGTAGAAGATAATGACCCACTATGAAAAACTTTATGAAATATGAAAATAATAAACATTTTTCAAGCTGAAAAATCCATTGGAACAATACGTTACCTCGTCGAACTGTGAAAGATGAGATGACTAGGATTTTACATTGTAAGCTTTCCTTAAAAGCCTCTCTATGGAAAAAAATATTCCACTGTATATTAGTGTTAATGTCCCCTGGTTCGACTTATTATGCTCTGAGTACGATAATTTTATTCAACCAGGACAGGATACTGACAAATAAGTTGACATTTCTGGGAATTCAGCTAACTCTCCTTTAGTAATCTTTTCGAAATTTTTATGGTTGTCATAGTGATCTTGCTTTTAAGTACAACCTATAATTTGGTCTTATTTTAACCGGCACATTTCAAATCAATCGTTAGGTCATACATTTATTATACTACCAATTCGACTATGAAAAATTCTGTCTACCTGATTAATCATAAAAGTCCTTAGAGAGAGTGACAGTTAGCCCTATGGTCAACAAAGAATGTTTTCTCCTCCATAGTACCATGTCCAGAAATTTCCAAATTTCCTTGTTCTCCCTTTACACGAATTTTGTGTAATCCTTGAATCAATACGGTTTTGAATTTCAAAATATTCAGAGGCACTACTTTTCGATCATATCATAGATCAGAGGATAATTTTTTATATTGTGATGTTTTGTTTTTTAAGCATTTTTGTATATCTTTGTGGTCTGTATTTCAGATCGAAGTCACAGTGTGTGAAGGGGGATGAGAGTACTTCTCTTTCCTCCCAGAGCTCGACTGGATTTAGAAAACCTGTAGGAATACCTCCGCTGTCACGTGTGAGTTTGTCCAGCGAGACAAACCACGCTTATTCCGATTATAATGAAGGCAGTAGGTTCAGCTTGCCTCGTTACAACGTTCACAAAAACAGTGCATATGGATACTTCGATTCTGATTGCCAAGTCGTAGGTAACCCGGCGAGAGAGCAGCGGGGCTATTACTAGTGAGAGCAGGCATAAAGCAGAAAAATGACAACTTTTGTGTATTCTTTCCGATGCATTTATATATGTTAATTTAAAATGATTTTAAAAGAAACTTCATTATGTGGAAATCATGAAAGTAATTCTACACTGTTTTCTTGTCAGACCAACAGAAAAAAAAAAAATTTCTTCTTTATTCATGTTATTTTCAATAAAGTTTGGAATTTTTATGACAGAATAACAATATTTGATATAATATTTAAACGTCATGATCAATATCAACATGTAAGGATGTTTTCAAGGCAACATTGCTGTGTTTTGTTATATTCCTGGATGCTTATGGAAAAAAGCATTGTCAAAGGAGTTTATGGATATCTATATGCTATGAATCTATCGTATACTTTCTAGCTTTAACTTTTAGTAAATAAAACGGTTTGTATTTTAAGTATTAAACAAAAAAGATATTAAGTTATTAACATCTAGTTATCTTAGATACTTCTTTCTGACATGTTTATATATGCAGGACATTCAAGTAAAAGGTGCTTTTCATCTTCAACAATAGCTTAACAATGGAAACAAAATATACTTTCTAGGAATGACCGGATTACAATATCAACCTCTTTCATTTCCTAGGAATTGGAAGACCTAATATTCTCCATATATATCATCATATGCTTGGGTTACCAGTTTCTCAACATCAGGTACTAAATGGAAGCTTACTGCATCGAGTATTCTAAATGAGTTTAAGTTCAGAAAGAATTGTTTTCAGAGGATTAAAGTTAAGGACCAAGCATTTTAAATTCGGTTTCGAAGTTAAAGGATGAGAGCACTTAAGCTATTAGAGTTGGATTCCGGCGTTTTGCCCAAAATAAAATTCTAAAATTTGTTCAATTTATGTTTTAAAGGTATTAAACAATGTCTCAAGAGCACGTTTTGGCATATTAAATTATATGAAAATATTAAATAATGTTATGCGAACTAGTTTTTGAGACGGGACCCAAACGTTTTGTCACATTTTTATTGTTATTTCTTTGCATGCCAGTTTTCAATGACATTTCTTACATCGATCAGCAACTTGTCCATTGGTTTCATCTGCACAGAATGTGTATTTTAATTTAAACTTAAACATATCCAAATGTCAGTGTTGGACAAATAGCGGCTCATATTTAATTGTGTGAAAAAGTCTGAAAAATATGGTCGAATTATCCATTTAATTAATAGGTCCCAGAGTGTCAACGATTGATATTATAATCACTTTACTCACGTGACATGCCACTGTTCAATACGCTAGCGCTTTCAATGAATATTTCATTGTGTGTGTCACTGGAAGTTTCTTTTGTGACAGTGTCTATCGTACTTCCAACTTCAAACTATGGAATGTTTTTTGCGAAAATTTTAATAGGGTTTGAAGATTATATGTCTCTTATTTTACTTTGTGCTTTCGTTAGGGGTATTTTGAAAGAATTCTGGTACTGTCAGTGTGATTAGTAAGTATAGATTCACGTCGCCTCAGTATTATGGTATGCAGGGCGAGACGTCTATCCGATTCCTAAACACGAATCCTTTATTATTTGTGCACCAGGAAACTACACCATCTCTCTCTTCTCCATTTAAATTCATGTGAAAAATATGATTTCAAAAAATCATACATGTTAATGTTTACATTCCACATCCATGCCATGTAAATGTCTCCGCCTATTTTCGTATACCTTAAATTCAAAATTGGTCCAGTTTAAATTTTCAGAATTTAAGGCTTTAACACATATTCTTCTCAATGGCATTGTGTGTAATTATAGAAATATGTATGAACAAGAATTCAAGGCATACACTGTAAATATCAAAAGCATATGCTTGCATGAAAATCATAGATGAATTTAGCGATTCGTTATCTCCATATCCTTCTTTACTAAAGTGCACTCATTCTTTTTAAGATTTTCAATATTTATCATGTATACAATGAAACATATGGAGATTACGATCAAAAGTCCATTAATCAATACAAAATAGGAGCAGAGCAAACACGGATCCCCAAAACATCAAAGGTGGGATTGGCTGCCTTGGAAGAATAAGCATCCCCTGCCGACCGGTCACACCGCTGTGTGCTCCTTGTCATAATCGGGAAAATGACACAAAAATCAGTAGTCAATAGAGTGTATAAATAATGGACAAATAATTGGTATAAAAAAAACGTCAGTCAGCATTTGACTCAATGATAATTTGTATTTCCTGCCATTGTATCGACCATAGAACTAACGAAATAATGACTTTAAACGAGCCTTCTGTTATTCTTTTTCATTAACTCCTGTTTGTTGTTTCTCAATAGTTTACCTTGTTAGCTCTTCTGAGCCAAAGGCTCAAAGAGCTAATGCTATGGCCATTTGTGCGGTGTGCGGTGTGCGGTGTGCGGTGTGCGTTAACTTTTTAGAATATGGGCCATAACGCAAGAACCCTTTGGCCAATCAGTACCAAATTTGCCACAGGGTATCCTTGGCCCAAGGGCTACCATTTATACTAAAATAAGGGATGGGACCCTAAAACAAGGGGAGATAATCAGGAAAACAAAACCAAAAGTACTAGTTGCTAAAAAATCTTCTTCTCCAGAACCGCCAGGCAGATTTTCACCAAACTTACATACAAGGATCAGGATATGTTGAAGAATAAAAATTGTTCAAGGCATGACCCTGGGGCAAAGGGCGTGGTCTCAAGGTCACTTTAAAGTTGACCTAAATTTACAATTAATAAAAAGATCATCAAATCTTGTAAGTTGATGCATCTTAGGACTTCACATCATGTTAACTCAAAAGTAGGTCACGGTGACCTACTTTTTTAATTTTGCGGGCATTTGTTTTCAAATTGATTTGAAGGCATATTTTGGACACTTTAAGGCCTATGATCATCAAACTTAGTCAGTTGATGCATCTTGGGTCCTTGAACAATGTCAACTTAAAAGTAGGTCACCGTGACCTACTTTTTGAACTTTATGACTTATCCTTTTTTAAAACATTTAATCCCATTATTTCAGGCACTGAAAGGGTTAGAATCATCAAATCTTGTAAGTTGCTGCGTCTTGGGACCTTAAAACATATTTAAGAAAAAGTAGGTCACTGTGACCTTCTTTTAGAATTTTGCAGGCATATGTTTTCAAATTGTTTAAAAGGCATATTTTGATTACCTTCAGACCTACAATCATCAAACTTGGTCAGGAGATGCATCTTGGGACTCTGAAAAATGTCGACCAAAATGTAGGTCACCGTGACCTACTTTCGACATATTATGGTTATATTTCAGTATCTTATGTATTTATTGGCTTAGAATCATCAAACTTTGTGAGTTGATGCATCTTGGGTTTTCGGAGAGTGACGACCAAAAATTAGGTCACGGTGACCTACTTTCGACATTTTATGGCTATATTTAAGTATCTCTGGTACTTATTGGCTTAGAATCATCAATCTTTGTCAGTTGATGCATCTTGGGTTTTCGGAGAGTGACGACCAAAAATTAGATCACGGTGACCTACTTTCGACATTTTATGGCTATATTTAAGTATCTCTTGTACTTATTGGCTTAGAATCATCAAACTTTGTGAGTTGATGCATCTTGGGTTTTCGGAGAGTGACGACCAAAAAGTAGGTCACGGTGACCTACTTTCGACATTTTATGGCTATATTTAAGTTTCTCTGGTACTTATTGGCTTAGAATCATCAAACTTTGTGAGTTGATGCATCTTGGGTTTTCGGAGAGTGACGACCAAAAATTAGGTCACGGTGACCTACTTTCGACATTTTATGGCTATATTTAAGTATCTCTGGTACTTATTGGCTTAGAATCATCAAACTTTGTGAGTTAATGCATCTTGGGTTTTCGGAGAGTGACGACCAAAAATTAGGTCACGGTGACCTACTTTCGACATTTTATGGCTATATTTAAGTATCTCTGGTACTTATTGGCTTAGAATCATCAAACTTTGTGAGTTGATGCATCTTGGGTTCTCAGAGAATGTCGACCAAAAAGTAGGTCACGATGACCTACTTTTGAATATCTCAGGTATTTATTGGCTTAGAATCATCAAACTTAGTCAGCAGATGCATCTTGGGACTCTGAAAAATGTCGACTAAAATGTAGGTCACGGTGACCTACTTTCGACATTTTATGGCTATATTTAAGTATCTCCGGTACTTATTGGCTTAGAATCATCAAACTTTGTCAGTTGATGCATCTTGGGTTTTCGGAGAATGTTGACCAAAAAGTAGGTCACGGTGACCTACTTTCGACATTTTATGGCTATATTTAAGTATCTTAGGTATTTATTGGCTTAGAATAATCAAACTGTGTCAGTTGATGCAACTTTGGTCTTAGGATACTTAGGGTTAGAGGCTTCAAATACAAGTGATAGGTTGTACAATTTATCAGAAGAGCGATTCAAGGCCCTTGGGCCTCTTGTTTTAGAAGTTGTTGCTTATCGAATCAACCGAGATATATAAACTCAGTATGCAGGTGATGTAGGTATATTGCTGCATAAAGAAGGGAAGTGGACAATATAAAAGTCTAAGTTATCACATTTATCATATAGCTTAGTTGTTAAATTACCATTAATGTCTTTTTCAAGTAAAACATCCAAGCATGAAACAGATCTGATTTACACCACTTTTTGAATATATTGTTGCACAGTACTCTTGAAGCTTCTCCTTACTACTGTTAATATCTTAGAGATGAGTAAAGAAAGAACCCGCTATGTATCTTTGTTTGTAAGGATTCTTATAAAGTTCTCGTATATGCTGGTGTAGATTCATTTTGATTCTTTGGAATATTAAAAATGTTTAAAACAGACATATGATTTTGAAGGATTTCCTCCTTAGAAAGTGAACTATGAGAATAAGATGGGTTACCACTGTCAGAATTTTATCCGAGTTCTTCCAAAATACAATATATTTAATGAGCCTTACAAAAGAAGACAATGTTGTTACCTGCTTTGTCACCAGGGACCAGTACGTACTGATTATGTTATCTATCTAATTCTTTTTTCACTTTTGGATTATTAAATACATTTAATAAATGGTTTTCATATTACTCCTCAATCTTTTAATACATGTTTTTAACATTAACTTTGCAGACATCTTTATTAACTTTCACTGGCCAATAGTGGCGTTCATTTCGCCTGTGTTTACATTGATCCATGGTAACAATAGATAAAAAAGTTAAAGGCTTTACGAAGGGAAGTGAATTTAAAATTCGTGTATTACATTAAAATGATCCAATTTTTGTGTGTGTGTGGGGGGGGGGGGGAGGGAGAGGAAGGGGTTAATCTTTAATTGCATTTGAAGATGTTAAAAACAATTCTTAAAGTAAAAATCATGTTTGGAAAAAAAAATAACGGAAAATCTTAACGTTATTCGTTCCTTTATTATTATGACGGTGCATACAATAAGGTCAATTTCTATCCAACGAGGCCCAATTTGCTTTTCAATTATACCAATAGGGAATTTAAATAATCCTTGTTTCTTTTTGGAATAAAAGTTAAATGGGGAGATAAAATTTTGAGTATTTCCTTGTAATCTTATCTACCCCTGTTATCTATAAAACACAAGTGACTCTCCTGAACAGACAAATTCATAAGTTACAACAACCAGCCAGAAATGCAGATTGCTGTCTTGTTTTTACTTAGTGTACCTGGATGTCTTGGGATTGTGGAGTTTTATCCTTTTGGATCTAATGCTGGAGACAGAGCGGTCAGTAAAAATGACGACGGAAGTTCCCCAGAAATTCCCATCTCCACACGGTTCCCATTCTTTAATCATCAACACGACCACTTGATCGTGAGTATATTTCAATTCATTTTAATATATATATATATATATATATATATATATATATATATATATATATATATATATATATATATATATATATATATATATATATATATATATATATATATATATATATATATATAATTCAGAAGAAAATGAGTTAGAACTACTTCATATTATCTTTGTATTATATTAATTGTAATAACAATACAAGACTTTGTATTTCAAGGTATGTATTTTTTCTATTGTTTATAATATAGTAAATATACCTTATATTTTTGTTCCAGAATAAAATTTTCAGAAAATCGAATAGATAGACAGTAGCCAGGGAATTTGTATTTTTTAAGTTAACTGTCATCATAAATTTATAACTATATAGATAAGGGCAGTTGCGGAAGTGAACATTTCAGATTCTTATATCCAATGACCTACTTTGTAGTGCAATGACTATTTTGAATATTCTTTTATACTACATGTATATCATATCAAAATGCCATAAAAACACAGATGCTTTATTCTGCAATAAAAATTTAACCCATACAATATCATGTCTAATAATAAGGTATCAAACTTCGAATAACATGGAGTACCCACTTCCAAAAATTGTACTCATTTACACTTACAGAGAAAACGCACTGGCAAACTGTTTATTACCATTGTCTTTTACTATAATCTTTTACACAACAATACATGAGATGCTTGTCTATATATCCTTTTATCTCATTTAATGAAATACTGATTTACTTTTACTATACTGATTGTTGGGCCATTATTCACACACTAAGTTGTCCAATGATTTTGTCGTTAATTCCCGATTATGACAAGGAGCAAACAGCGGGTGTGACCGGTCGGCAGGGGATGTTCACCCTCCATGGTACCTGATCCCATTTCTGATGTTTTTTAGGTCCTTGTTTGGTCTGCTCTAATTTTGTAATGCTAAATGCACTTTTGAGCTTGAATACTGTTCATCATCTCCATATATTTCATCCCTGTTTAATAGTGTCAGAACTCTGTTCGCCGATGGAAAAGTCGAACCACACCGTGAAATGGTATGAACTAATCCAGGGCAGGGATTTTGATTGGCTTAAAGTCTGTTTAAAAAAATTCCCTGCAAAAATGAAATATTTTATGAAAAACTAAATGTAAATGAGCGATAAAGCTAAATGATAAACGTTATAGTTTATTACTTATGTATCAAAGTACATGTACCTTTGTCACCTGTACACATCGGTATTGTGTCTATTATGCAGTTGATTCGATACGCCAATGAATGACCTATGTATGAACAGTTTCCTAAACGAGGCAAGGTATTGACAAACAATTTCATGAAACAAGATTATCAACAGTATCGTTTATTATTATGTAAAATTCCGAAGGATGTTTTTCATACGTGGTGTAAGGCCATCATTTACACATTGAATCGTCTAGTACTGGTTTTTCCTGTAAGACCGATTATAACATGGTGCTCAAAGAGGATATGACCGATCGAACAGCACGCCTTTTCCTTTAAAAATATTGCCGCAAAATACATCCTTAGTATGTTACTGCTAATGTTATTAGATATCTCAGCTTGTTTTAATAAATCATTTTCTTCTCTCAAATGTTTTGCACTTAATATCAAAGCATTTTGAACATAATAGATATTAGATGTTCGTAAATAGAATTCTTATATTAGTCACCACTTTCGAAGCTAAACACATCTTGTGTCAACGTCATTAAAACAAGTTTCGCATGTTTAGCATGTAACATTGTAAATGAAATGGAATATATGGAAATAACGAACAGTATTTAATAAAACAATACATAATAGGAGCAAACAGGACCTCCAAAACATTAGAAGTGGGATCAAGTGCCATGGAGGAGTGAGCATCCCATGCCGACCGGTCACATTCGCCATGTGCTCCTTGTCGTGGTCAGGAAATAACTGAAAAACCCGTCGTCAAATGAATTCAGTGTATAATAATGGACTAACAAATTAGTAGGAAAAACATCAGTTAGCAAGAAAGTGGATTCGTTGCATGTATCATTATAGACATTAGATACTAATAAGTATTCTTAACGAATATTGTTCAGATTAACACAAATGGAGTCATCTCCTTCCTTAAAACCGTGTCAACATATACCCCGAATCCCTTCCCACTGGATGGCGACCGAAGGCTGGTTGCTATTTTCTGGGCTGATGTCGACACACGAAACGGAGGTACTGTGTGGTATCGAGAGTCAACCGATCAAACGATACTAGACAGAGCAACAAACGAAGTCAGGACATACTTCCCACAGTTCTTCCGTTTTCAAGCCACTTGGGTCTTCATTGCTACCTGGTATGATGTTGCATTCTTTGGATGTTCTACCTGTTTGAAGGTAATGCTTTGTTTTCATTTGCTTATCTTGCTCTCATTCTCTAAGTATTTACAGTGGTTTAGATAGTGCTTTTACTGTGTTTTAACATGTATATACTTGACAGAGAAACACGTTTCAAGAGATTCTGATTACCAATGGCCAGCACTCGTTTACTATTTTCAATTACAAACAAATTGAATGGACAACAGGAACAGCCAGCGGTGGGAATGCAAGTACTGGCCTTGGAGGAACACCAGCTCAGGTAATATCAACATGTATACACAAAACCCTCTCTGAAAGATACTCAATGTTTTCATTTTATAAATTCGGATGCTCTCTGTAGCATATACTCGGCCTCCTTGTCTTTTTAGTGTTAATTTGAAGAAAATAAAATGAAACTGCACTTTACACGCAATATGAAAAGACTACAAATGAAATTGGAGATGGATGGTTTTTGTAGTCCTTATGTCGTTTCGATAAATTTAGGTTGGTTTTAATGCTGGAGATGGCAAAGTGTTTTACGTTGTGAATGCTTCTAGAACCCGAGATATTCTGCATGTAAACCACATGTCAAATATCGGAGTCCCGGGAAAATTCGCCTTCCGTATTGATGCCGCAGAGATTGGTAATGGTGGCTGTAATACAAAAGGTACTGTGTATTTGTTCGTAAGGATAAAATGGAGAATTAGAAATGAAGTTGTATTTCTTGTAAAATTTTATATGGTTTCACTCCACTTAAAATACAAGAAAATTGGTGCTGATTGATTGTTTGTAATAAACTTTAATTGTATATTTAAGCCATGATATCATAACTGTTGATCAAATCTTTGCAGAGTTAAAATAAAATGTGATGTAAAAAAATACAAGTCATGTACATGTAGAAGAAAAAAATATATATCGTGAATATCCTGTATAATTTTTATGGAATTGATATTTGATCCTTGTATTGTGATTTATGTTTATGATTTTATTTCTTCATAATAAAGAAAGGTAGTGTTTTCAAATCCCGGTAAATGGAAAAAATAGCAAATCTTTTGTCCATGTCTTTTTATTTTTATCAATATTATATTTTACAAAGATAGTTAAATTTGCGAATAATGATATTTCAAATTATGTTTTGCTTCATTGACATATCTGCGTTGTGGACAAATAAGAATATATTTCAATTAATTTTTTTTTTAAATCCATCTTAGCCTAGGGTGCCAAAAAAGTTTGTTTTTTTAAAGCTATTTCAAAAGGTGTTTTTCATATTATCTTTTGAGTTGTGGTATGCATGGCATATCAAAACCTGTCGCAAAAATTATTGTTTATAACTTTGCAGTAATGTGATAAGATAAATGTTATATCAGACATATTTAGATAGTAACTAATGTTCCTAATTCCACGAATCTGAGTCACAAATTGCATAAGGAGTTTAAACATTAATAAAGATCGATCATTTGTGTTACATACGGATCGATAAGCCAGTATTGCATTAACTTTTTATACATTTTCTCTTAATGTATATTTATATTGATTTTAAGATTTGAAAATTCCAGGGTTTCACGGTTGCAATCATTTCTGAAAAGAATTACATAACACACAATTGCAAATTTTACGTTTTGTTTTATTAGACAACGTGTCATCTTTGTTTGATCAAAGATAAATTAGAATTTTGTTGAAAAAATTAAAAAAAGACTCTCACGATAACATTCACCAAATCTTTTTACCTGTAATCTTCAAGAAAAAAAAATTATTACTAAGTATATTTAAAGGCCGGTATACACGATGAGATTTGTAGTATAATGCAAGTATTATAACACTTTTGTATTATAATACTTTCTTGTACACACGCTAATACATATTTTATAAGATTGTAAGTAAACTATTTATTCCCACGTGTTTTCTCCTGCCATATTTCTCTCTGTCAAAATAATAAAAATGATAATAATAAGCTCTGCTCCTGGCATCTTTCCTGTGGTAGCTACTGCTTGATATATTCCACAAGTCTTCTTCCCCTTCCCATAAAACTTCGAGTTTTTCGATGTCTTTACTTGTAAAGTTGGCCATTATTATTTACCATGTGCTTTTTTTTACTAATGACATAAATAGGATGACCCCCAGTGTCAGTACATTTCATTGGTTGAAAGAGAAAGGTAAGCTAAGACTTGTATCAGGAAATAGAGCATTGCTCTAATCTTAATACAGTTTTATAAGATTCGAAAAATCTTATGATACACTGTATTAAGGGTGTATGCACAGTAAGATTTTGTAGTATAATACAAATCTTATAATACAAATCTTACAGTGTATACAGGCCTTAAAGCTGAACACGACTCTAATTTAAGGCCGGTATACACGGTAAGATTTGTATTATAAGATTTGTATTATAATACAAAATCTTACTGTGTATACACTCTTAATACAGTGTATCATAAGATTTTTTGAATCTTATAAAACTGTATTAAGAATAGAGCAATGCTCTATTTCCTAATACAAGTCTTAACTTACCTATCACTCTCGACCAATGAAATGTAATGACACTATGGTCATCCTATTTTTATAATTACTAAAAAAAGGCACGTGATAAATAATGCTCTAGTAATGGTCGACTATACAAGTAAATACATAAAAAAAAAACTCGTGGTTTTATGGGAAGGGGAAAAAGGACTTGTGGAATATATCAAGCAATGCATAATACGATGAGAGACACCGCTATCAGAGCCCCATCCTCCATTTTTATTACTTTGACAGAGAGAGGCATATGGCGGGGGAAGACACGTTGGAATACGTAGTTTATTTACAATCTTATAAGATATGTATTAGCGTGAGTACAGGAAAGTATTATAATACAAAAGTATCATGATACTTGCATTATACTACAAATCTCATCGTATATACCGGCCTTAAATTGGCATTCACCATTTTCAATGCAACTATATACGATATCAGCACTACGTATACCCTTGGCATTCGTTACACAGTTATTTTTGTCACAAGTACCAGGGTGGAATTGGGACCGGTGTCCGTGCTGGTTATCTTGCATAACGTTTGTTTACATATTATTGCAGTCACATGTATGAATTGTGTATATATACTGCACTGACCTATGCATATATAATGTGTTTCTTTGGTATATTATTTTCTGCATTAAAAACTAAACAGTTATTTTTGTCGCTCACCAGCATATGGAGTTTATGTATCTCAACTGATTCAATATGCAAGAGCATGCTCTACGTATGAACAATTTCTAAAACGAGGTAAATTATTGACAAACAAGTTTATGAAACATAAATATCAGCAGTCTTGTTCGTAAGTTCTATGGTCGAAACAATGACCTTGTCAGCAAATACAATTTATTATTAAGTCAAATGCTGACTAACGTTCTTAATACTAATTGTTAGTCCATTATTTTTACACTGAATTGACGACAGATTTTCCTGTTATTTCCGATCATGACAAGGAGCATATGGCGGGTGTGACCTATCGGCAGGGGATGCTAAATCCTCCATTGCACCTGATCCCACCTCTGATGTTTTGGAGGTCCGTGTTTGCTCTGCTCCTGTTTTGTATTTTTGTATTGTTTTATGGACTTTTAATCTCGAATACTGTCCATATGTTTCGCTACCGAGTGCTGCAAAGCATACATTGAACAGTGACAAAGTAAGCCGCTTTATATTGGGTGACAAAGTCAGCTGATTCATATAGAGGTCCTCAAATGTAGCAAGAGTCCAAGCGAAATTGGTGGACACATTCCTTTTGCGAATCATGCTCAGCTTTAAGGGACAACTCTCTAATTTCTTGATGATTTGAATAAACGTAGACGATATATTTGTATGATTTCGTTTCGTATCTGATTTCTTTTTTCACATAAACACAGGCAGTCTGCTGATTTCCCCACGTCATGGCCCTATGCTTGGAGGACAATATCTGGTGATTAGCGGTCCATGCATGAACCCTGATGACGTCATTCAGGTTAAGTACTTCTATATGCCAGAGTTATTTCCTTGCCAAAGAAAATCAAATTACAGCGCCATCTGTATCACTCCGATATTTAACATAACCGGTGACATCACGGTCCACGTCATCATTCGAGATATTAAGGGACAGGAACAACATCATACAGGACCCTATACGATAGGTATTACTACAAACATTTTAAATTCTGATTCATGTAGTTCTGCGAACAACATAAACCTTTTTCAGATGAAGAAACATGTATGCCTTTTGAAAAAGGGAAACAAAGCATGATTCTATTTCAGCACTTTTAAAAATACTTACAACATACCTATAAAAAGTAAATTATTCTCATGCATGAATGCATATAAATATTTGTTAATAATTAATATACCGGTTAATATCTTAACTTTTACGTGCATCTACCTGCAGGCACTTTTAGCTTTCGCAGTTTATAAAAAGATTAGCTTTTAAACAATCCTTATACATTAACAAGAATATGAAATTCCACCTTTGTTAAAGCAAAATATTTATTCTTTCCTGAGGAAACATTTGTCAAAAATAAATTATATTCCTATTGTGATCCTTAGTAAACCCAGCTGTGTTTAAGAATCCTGTGAAGAGACATCAGCCTCAAAATTGGATCAATGGCCACCAACAAGTTATTTCCTGGGATCCATTTGCGTTCGAATTAAGAGAATCTGAAAGAATTCACGTACATTTATTTACAGTAAAGGTAAATCAGATATTAATGCCTAATATGTATAGATATATAAAATTAATGTATATACTGATCAATTATAGGAAATTTACTTTGATAATATTTTTATTGCAATTGAATTTTAGGAACAGTTTAACAATCAGCTTCTGTGGGAGAAATCCACGTTGCATGATAACATAGCGAGAACTCTTGGAACCTATACCATTCAGCTTCAAACAGAAGGGTATATGGCAGCAATCCGTGTCACTGCTGCAATGGAAACGGACACTGACCTGTAATTTTTTTAGTTTATAAATTAATTACCCCTGATATTTCTTATTTTCTAAATTTTAAACTAATAGGATTTTTAATTATACATATCTCACGATCTGTTACAAAAATATAAATATGAAGATAATGAACAGTATCCAAGCTCAAGACCATTTAAACAAATCGGAAGCACATGTATTAAACCTATATATAAATAAAGATATTAACCCAGAAGCATTTTTACCTAATTCTTAAACATTTTTTACAAAAATGCACTTTATTTGGATTTGTTTTTGTTTTATCCTTACTGTAATCCTAATGAACTTTTTATCATATTTCTACATCTGCTATCTACATCTGCTATTTTGTTCCAGGTCAGAAAGAGGAATTTGGTCAGAAATCTTTGCAGTTGTTCCACAGCAACAAAAATCACAGCGGTTCTGTCAAAACTGGCTGAGACAGGAGTATCATCTTTCAAGGGTATCTTCGCAAAATATTCCACCCTGTCCTTGCACACTACAACAGGCTTTGATGGACACGGCTCGATACCAGCCTGATCCCGATTGTAATATGGTAACAAAGACCAGGGATGGTGACTTCAATTGTCTGTACAGAGCAGATGCAAAGCACTGTGTTCGACTCAGCGTTCCTGGGTAAACTAATCTAAAAAATTTGAAAAGATGTTTACATTCAATATCGCAGCATTATTCCACTATCAGTTATAGATGTTCATGTTGAATTGTAAGATTTGCATATCAGATATTCAAGTCAACTCTTTTGATATCATTAATCGTATTAAAGAACCGAACCTAGCATCTTATACTGAAAGCGCGTCAATGCCACTTACTCAACCTCTCATCATCATGCCTGTCGAGTCGACATACATATTAACGAAAAAACGTCATTTTTTTGATTTGATGTTAATTCATGATAAGTAGACCTAATATTCTTACAGGTCAATATAATGGTCAATATCAACATAATTAACTTAATTATGATGTCATATCTAGATTCTACATTCGAGGTTATTACTATAATGCTTAATATACGTTCTATTTTAACATAAACACATTTACATTCTAAATTTGAAAAAGAAAAATAGAAGTATGTTGAGAGAAAACGAACAGACAAGTTGACATATAACATCCGACAATTGGCAACGACAGCTCTTTTTGATCTATATGTTAAAAATGAAATCAGTTTGATGAGGCTTCTCATACAATCAGGTATTAAATTTGTAGACCTCTGGACAGTGACAATGTGTGTTGCTACGACTTCAGTGGCAATCTGATCGACACCCGTGTAAAGGAAGGCGGTTCTCTACAACGTTACCACTATTTAGGAGGAGAGAAAAATATCCCCTATGTTACCAACTTCTACTACGATGTCCTCCCTTTCCTGCACTGCTGTAGATATTATGGTATCAGCTCAGATGTTGGACAGGGTGGAAGCTTTCTTTATTCAGAATGCCAGGATTATCTAGAGTTTAGAAAAATTAGCTCTTGTTACAACTACATCCCGCCACGTCCAGGTAATTTCAGTTCACTTGAAACAATGGCTTAAACAAACTATTTCATGCCAAATTTTATCTGACGTTTATACAGATGTTTGGTTGTTGGTTCCAGCCTTTTAGGGCAATAGGAAATTGTTTTATAGAGTGTAAACAGTTTTAAGGAAACGATTGCGTCTCATTGTAAACAGTTATAATCAAGAAGCGCAGAAGTCGGGTTCTTGTAAGAGGAAGAATTTTTCGCAAAAAATCTTAACTCTACTCTACAAAGATTAAAAAAATTGACATCTCTGAATTAAATTTTGTTTCATCGTTTTGTTTTTGTTTTTTTTTTTTTTGTTTTTTTGTTTACACGAATATTCACTGTTTATTCTAATGCAGTAAAGGCGTTATATTTTTGTTCCCTTTACACATCTCTCATAGGGAGTTAGAGAATATAAACTGAAAGTGGAAAGGCTTACTAAGGTGATACAAAATAAAGGTAACGAGCAGCATACAAGATCAGATGTCCATTCAAACACTATAAATCAGGAGCAAAGCCTACATGGACCTCTAAAACATCAGAGGTGAGATCAGGTGCAATAGTGGGCATCCTCTGTCAACCAGTCACACTAGTCGCGTGCTCCTTGTAATAATAGGGATAGAAAAGAGAAACAGTAGACACTTAACATGCTTAAGTATCAAAGTTATGGACTAACAATTAGTATGAATATGTACATCAGCATTGATTTAATGGTGTGTTGTATTTGCATTGTAAGGTCATTGTATCCATCATAGAACTTGCAAAATGATGATTTGAGACAAGACAAATTATATGCTCCTTTCATCAACTTGTTTGTATATAACTTATCTCGTTTTAGACATTGTCGGTACACAGGGCATGCTCTTGTGTATCAAATCAACTGAAAGATAGAATACTCCCTGAAGGAAGCCTGAATTAAGACTATATTTATGGATGTTGTTCAAAATACTTTCAAGCAAGAGTCATGCCCATTTCCCTTTCTTTTTCCGCTTTTAATTTGGAGTATTCATTTGGGATTTTTTTCAACAATCCTATTTAATTATCAAGCATAAAAATTAGTTAAGACAGTAAGAAAGAAATAACACAAAGTACATAAGTATATATATATATTAATTTTTTTAGCCGGTGCCAACGGTGATCCTCACATTAAGACGTTAGATGGATTTGGATACAACTTCAATGGACTCGGAGAGTTTCATTTCATTGTTTCTAGGAATATGTCATTCGAGAGTCAAATTAGGTTTGAACAGGCAAAGCGTAGTAATGGTAAGATTACAATAAAACTACATATATCAATTTTTAATAGAAGTGAAGTTCTTGTTATTTTACTCGTGCATATTTTAGGCAGTACAGTTGCTGCCAGCGTCTGCACGTCTTTTGTGGCTCGTGTTATAAATGCGTCTGATACAGTAGAAGTGATTCTAAATTCTATCAGAGTGGCGGATGTCCTCATCAACGGGCAGATACAGGACTTTAGTGACGTGTCCTGGTTGAGATATGATGGTACGTCTATCAAAACACTTACCTCCTCTACCTTTGCACTTTTCTTTATTAGATGAACCATATTATCAGAAATACCTGTCAACAAATAGTATATTTATCATAACCCCCTATTGTTATTTGCAGTAATGACATGCATAGATTGACAAGTTGATGATTTCATCTTTCTCTGATAAGATATCATATGTTACTATACTTAAAATTATTTGTAACAAAAGTTGTGTTCTCATATCAATAAATGGCATAACAAAAATTAAAACAAAACATGAAGACAAAGAAAAAAAACAATAAGTCTCGACGTTCATATGATAAATATGAATGTATTTTGACAATATTTTGTAGGTGTATCAATCCTTAATTTACATAAGACATCTATAAACACGACAAGTAGGGAAATCCTCGTGATGTTTGCTGATGTGGGAGTATCCTTCAGAATTATGGCAAGCTATAACGTACTTAATGTCATGCCAATCATTGCCAATGATTCATTTAAAGGTACATGTAAAATTAGATTATTTATATAATAAAACTACATGTAGGCCTATATTTATTGTTTGTTAACAATGTCGAATCACATACCAAAATT